CTTTCCTTTTTTTTTCTTTTTTTCGTAGGGGGGCAACCAGACCTCCAGAGGGAACTCCCCCCTTAACCAACGCCCCCGGTAAAAGTTTTGGGCACTATCTCCTCTGTCTCTCGGTGCAGTGTTCAGTGAAGCAGCGTGGAAGTGTGGGCAAATGTTTATGGACTTTTAATTTTAGATCCACCGAGCCCAAGGTCTGCAGCCCCCCGCCCCGCTTTGTCTGTGGGCTGGGACCACGGCGTAGGCAAGTTGTGTCGGAGTGGTTCTGGAGGCAGACCCGAGCGGTCGCCGTCCCTGTTTAAGACAGACAAAGGTAATTGCCCAGTCTGTGGCTGTGCCCCTCCGGCAGCGCCGGGCGTAGGCTGGGCATGCAGACGCTGCCCTGGAGTCACGGCACTGCCGGGRGAACTTCTGGCCCGCAGCGCCGAGCTTGGGACGGTCGGGGGGCTGCAGTGGGTAGTTTTACCCCTCGTRGGTCTGCTGGTACAGAAATGAAGGTCCTTGGGCAGGAAGAGCCGCCTCCCCGAGGATCCGGCAGCTCGGGAGCAGCGGCGATGCCGCGGGGTGCAGCCGGGCCCGCGTCCTGGGGCCCGACCCGCCCCCTCCCCCGGCTCCCCGGGAGAGCAGCTTCATGGCAGGTCCGTAAACCTGCCGTTTTCATTTCACGTCTTAAATGTGCATGGAGGAATTAAACTGCACGAGTGAATAACAGCATTAGTTTCAATTAATTTTTATCCTGGCAACAATAAACTTTAGAAACAAAGCGCTTTTACATCCTTAATTAGTCTTGCTTCCCATCTGTAGTCTTTTAAGTGCCTGCTCCTTGATTTAACTTTGTCCCTCCTTCAGAGCTGCCTCCTTTTTTATTCTTTTCCCTTTTTTCTCGTTCCCCCTTCCAGACTGCTGCCTGTTTCTTTCCTGCAACCTTTCACCTCCCTTGTCCGTATCTGTCTGCTCTGTGCAGTTTATTTCTCCTGTATTTTCCCAACATCAACAGCAGTATTGGTTACCATGGCCCCGAGCTATGTGCAGAGGTGGGAAAGCTTCATCCGCCCAAAAGTTCTTACACTTTTGAAGTCTTTCTTTYAGTAGGATCTGAAATGTATCATCTAGAGTGTGTATTAAATGAACAGTATTCCTGAAGGCTTTAGAGCAAGAAAGGCAACACCCTGGAAAATTCTGCAGTCTTTCAGCATTCTCTGCCCTAGGGTTATAGCCCTGGGCACGGAGCTGAATGGCTCTTACAACTGCCTTCTGTTTACCTTTTATGGTTAAAATAACAGCTTAGCAAAGAAGCAACTTCATGGAGAAACGATTCAGTGAAATCATCTCAAGCTGTAGCAGCATAGCTAGTTTAATCACCCCTAGAGAGCTGAACAACTGTGAGCACAATGGGACACAAAATCATTTTGTGTGTAAATGAGCATGGCATTGTGATTATTTCACTTTGCATGGGCAAATAGTTTTTACAAGCAGTTAGCTTAGGAAGGCAGGAAAAGATAAGCTGGCTCTGAAAGATCTTGGTGTGTAATGTTTGAAAAACTAAATATTCACATAATTTGGGAATCAGGCTCTATTGATTTTGCCTTCAGCAGGTTCCTGTGTTACTTATTAGAGCAGGGTTATTGCCTGTGCCACTAGTTGGGATGCTGTATCCTGTTGTAGGCAACTAAAGAGCAGGGATTATTTTCCATGGTTTAATAAATGAAGTTTGTTAGTGTTCCTGCGATATTTACCCTTAAGGTTTTAATTTTCACATCCATATTAGAAAATATGTGCATAAAGACTCACTGGATAAATACATTTTAGGATTTTGCTTTGTGCATAAAATAAATGCATTACTCAGTGTGATGAATTTTAGCTGTGTTACATTTAAGAAGAGGAAGGAGTCATTAGGAAGAGGGTTATGGTACCTTAAGAAATAGGGGGTATTTATTTTTTTTGGAGCAACAGTGCCCTTTATGTAGTGCTTAGCAATTGTGCCTCTTGATAATTTGCTCATACAGAAATGATTGAATTCCACAACGTTAATAAAAATCTAGGATTCATTTTTTTAATGTGAATCCTCTCCAGCCAGGGGAAAAAAACAGTGTTTTAATTCCCCTTCTTCTCTCCCCTCAAAAGCCAGGGGCTCACACCCTCTATAAGTATGAAAAGCCATAAAAGTTTGAGAACTATTTTAGCTTTCTAGTGATTTTTTATAATTAAGTGTTTTTTCAACACATGCTCTAGCTGAGAAATGCCAAAAGCAGAGGATTGTTCAAAAGGTCCCTCCAGTGAACAGTATAAATTAAATATCTACTGTGTGAGTATGGCCTCACTGAGAATCTCAGTCTTTACAGATCAAGGAATTTACTGGTATACTAACATTAAACAAAATCCTAAGATAGCAGCAGTGTTTAAATATGCACAAATAGATTCATATCACTTGATCTTTAGCTATCTGTGCATATTTTAAAATTGAAGTCTGTATTTCAAGACAAATGGTTAARTGTAAGACACATTTACAGAGGACTGGAAGTCCTTTGATTTCATTTGGAAATTGTAACAAGGGGTGCAGATGAGCCCTAATTAGACTCTTGTTTTGTGCAACTGCATGAGATTTATTTCTAAGGCAGCCCTGTACCATGCAAGGTCTCTACCTTTATCATTAGTGATAATGGTTGGGGTCTGAACAAAGACAGGGTTGACATTCAGCCCGGATCTTCTGAGCTTTCGTTTAAGTGAAGGAGTAGAGACTGATCATGAGTTTACAGTGCTCTTTGGTAAGGGAAAAAACAGCARCCTTTGTCTGTGTTGGCAGACAGATTAGTAAATACTTTGCTAAAATACTGTAGGTACTTACATACTAGGTTGTTTTTAAAAGTTAGTTGTTTTATTTATGCTATGTGACATATTTACTGAAGGTTGGCCACAACAAGCTCTTGTGGGAAACAAGAAAGACACGTCTTCAGTCATGAAAGGATTTAGTCACTTTCCTTGAAGGTGGTGCTGTAGTAAAAATGTTAATGCCCAATTTTGCATCGGCTGACACASAAGTCCTAGGACAGAGCTGGTGTTTGCTTCGTGTTCAGTGCAGATGTCCGTCCAGCCTCTGAAGAGAAAAGGATGTGGATTCATAATGGGGTGATGTATTTCTGTGCTGTAGATGCAAGAAATTCTTAGGAGCTAACCAAGATGAAATACACTAACTGGGGATGTGATGAATTTGTGAAGCTGTTCGGATGTATTAAGATTTTTCAATCCCTTTCTCTATAGCTTGGAAATTATTTTACAAAGAATGTTGCTAATTTATGTTCATGAAGTGGCATAGTYGGGCATCTTGTGCAAAATACTGCTAAAAGAAAGGCAAGACCAGCTTTAGATTTCTAAGAAACATTATCAAAGTAATGTGGGAGAAATAGAAATTCACTTTGGAATGCTGCATRTTAAGTGCTTATCAGATATAAGGAAGAGCCTGGGTGCTTGGTAGCAAGCTTGAATTACAAAATACCAGGAAAATTAGATTATATTCAGAAATGTCTTCAACTATAATGTTTTGCATATGTTGCTTTCCCCATAAGGGGGAGAATGGGTGGACATTTTCTTAAACTTTTCTAAAAGGGTTTTTTTCAGTTTGAGATGTGTGCCGTCTGCACCGGTTGAACTGAAATCAGCTTTGAGACACACGTTTCGTGCAGAATAAGCTGTGCCTTTCTTACAGAAGAGAATTGAGAAATTTTCTTTTGATATGGTTGTCATGTTCATTTTTAAGACAATTCAGTATTTTTTGCTTTGATTTTGCTGAAAAGGTTTGGACTCAATTCAGTAATTTCACTGATTTTCCAGTATTTTTAAGGCAGGAAACATTATGTGGATTGTGGAATTTATAATTTCACATGATAGATTATACAGTACTTTCTAACACATCTTGTCCTGAAAGCATGGGTCAGTTTATATATTTTTTTTTGTTTTCACTGCTTGCAGGTATCAACTGTTTTCAGTTTGAAAGCATATTAGTTGTTTAGGTCTAATATTAAGGCTTAACTGTAAAYTATCCATTTATTTCACAATTATTGAAAATAGGCAAGAAAATTGATCTTAGTTTGATGTGAAATTTACTACATGTATAAACTAAATGCCTTAGGTTCTGAGGAAGTCACTAATTTAGTGGTGTCTTGTTACTGAGACAAACTTGCAAAAACCCCCTGAATCCCAATTCACAAATTGGTTATTCGTTTGTCAGGGGATATTTCACATCTAACACATAAGCCCACGACCTTTAATTAGAATTTTGCAGTTTGTTTTACGCCCCTTGAGGCTGACACCTTGAAAATTTTTTTTCTTGATTTCTTATTGCTAATAAGCATCTTTCTCTTCCCCTCTGGTACTTAGAAGAAAATGATGCAAATACACTTAATTACAGTGGTGGCAATAATTTGTTAGCGGAATATGTGATCAGGCAGATGCAAAAATGATCTGATTAGATCTGTGATCACACTGGAGAGGAAGGTAACACACTGCTACATTTAAGAGAAACTGTTCTTTTTGCCTCCCTGTCGCAGGAGGGAAGAAGCATGTCCCGTCTGTCTCTAACACGSTCCCCGGTTTCTCCGCTGGCTGCTCAAGGAATTCCTCTCCCAGCTCAACTCACCAAGTCGAACGCTCCTGTGCACATCGATGTAGGAGGACACATGTACACCAGCAGTCTTGCTACCTTGACAAAGTACCCCGACTCCAGGTAAGACCTTGGCATTTCCAAGCTTGCTGCCCAGTTCTGTTCACCTCACGTACCTGTGAGGAATATTGCAATGCGAAATACGATTTATTATATATTCACCATTTATGAATTATTCAGTTTCCGATTTATATAGTAACTTCACTGGAGTTCTGCAGAAAAAAGGCCTGTACAATTTATGTATTATTTACAGAGTCTRTTCATTTTCTCTCTCAGCATCTTCTGTGTTGTGCTGGTACATTTGAAGCACCTGTTGGTGTGCTGCCCTAGATTATTTTCAACTGTAGCAGGCAACTTCTTTCTTTCAGATTTAGGGGGAAAAAAATTGGATTTTTCTTCCCCAAGAAGAAAGAATGGTTCTACTTCTGTGGGRCTAATAGATGGTTCTGTCGGGCAGCCAGAATCCTGACCTCACTGGTAGCTGTGTGCCTCAGCAGTCAGTTCCTCTGGGCAGTGCCTGGCTGACCCACWCTGGCTGCTGCAGCTACAGACTGGATTAGATTCTCGTGTGTTTAAATGTAGTGTCTTGTCCTAGACAAGGTTGGTGACATGTCTGGCAAGATTTATACAGATCTGGCCAATATTATCTCAGGATAGACCCCAGATCTGCCAGATAATGGATAGATGTAGCCTGAGATGATATCTGTGTGTGACATGGAGTCCAYTGTTTGCCTGGCTGCCAGTTCTGCAGGGTGTGGGCACTGTGGAGGATGGGGGCCCTGGGCAGCGTGAAAGGCACTGCTCTCTGTGGGGTTAAAGCACATTCCTTGGAGCAATGAATTAAAGGTGCCCAGTTTTGATTTGCAGTTATGATCACTAAACCAGTTCAGCTTTTTGAAACTGAGGCTGCTCGCAGACCAGAGGGTGAGTGCAAGTGTGAGTGCAAGTGTGAGTGCCTGGCACAGACTGAGGGGTGGCTGTGCAGGGCCAGGGTGCCCAGTGCACCAGAGCCTCTGAAGGAAACCAAAGCCCAGGAAATTTCGTTGTCCAAGGTTCTGCTACCTGCATGGCCAGTATTCCATAAGAGATTTTTTTTTTTTTTTTTTGTATGACAACCAATGTAAAGATCTAGTTTCATTTGAAGATTTTTCTTTTAGAAGAACTAAGGGGTTTTGCAGATTTGGCAGGTTCCAAGCAATAAATGACATTTATGGAGACACCTTGAAGTGTCTCTGATATTATAAAGCATATGGCTGTGATTTCATTTCAAGGGAAGGGAACTGCTGAAATTCTCTACGGAAAAAAAGCCCAATTATTAAAATACCTGTATTTTAAAATATGACCAAAACAATATGATTTTTTGGACAGTGTCAGTTTAATAATGTTTTTGTGGTACTACTTTAATCATAGAAAAGAAATCTGTTTAGTGGCGAGAGATATATAATGGAGAAACAAACAAATGTTTCATAGTATTAAAAAATACAGTGAAGATTTAGCAATTGTAATAGAGTGACACATCTGTTTCCATGTTTTAAAATATCATTGCTGACACTATTTTTAAAATATGCCCCACATCAAACTTAATAAAAGCTTCAGTTATGGAAGCTTTGGGAGAATATACATAAATTCACGGATTTTTTTGCAAGAGAATAGAGTACTGAGCCATTTTATTTTCCTGTTTGATAAATAACAAAAGCATATTTCTTCAGATTTTAAAAGTGCAAAACTGACCAGGGCTGACAYGCTGCCTCGTGTTTTGCTGTGTACTGTCTTTCATTTACATTGCTGTTATCTGCTAAGGCTTGCATGCTTTTTCAGCTGCTCAAACTTCAGTTCTCACTGAAGTAAGAGCTTCCAGGTCGAAACTTGTAGATCACATTACTTTTCTAGCAAAAGATAACCCTTCACCAGCATCCAAGTAGGACATACTGCTCTATACATTATGAAGCTGGATGAAACCTACATCTTAATTTATCTTTCTTTTATTTTTTAATTATTATTTGKTTTTTTGCRGTGCTMCATTGAGTTACTTAGTTGTAACCCATTCATTGAATCTGGCCTGCTCTCATAGCTGCAGTTATTCCCATGGGGATGGTTGGAGCTCCTGATGCTGCTTCACTGCCCTGTTGTGTGTCTTGCATATGGCACAGGCTGTCCTTGCAGTGGTGTGGCTGGGAGAGGATTCCTGGGTCTCTCAMCAGCCAGGAAGAAGGAGATAGCTCTTCTGAGCAAAATATCTGGAAATAATGCCAGGGCACTGCTGGATTTTGCCCAGAGGTGACATAGAGAGCTACGGCCATCCTGATCCACATACAGAGTTTTCTGGTTTATTTTGGATCACATGTTAAACTCTTGGTTTGAGCATGAGTTTAAAAGCTTCAAATCCAAGAAATCGCAGAAATTTGTAGGTTGTATTTCAGCAAAAGATGTAAGCATATGCTGAAATGCTTTGCTAAATCTTAGCTGCAGTCACATTAAATAGTTTGTGCTCAAAATTGAAAACTGTAGCAATAAACTTCCTTTTTTATTTGTTTTACCATCTCTGTTGCTTTCTCTGTGCTCCCACATCCTGAAGAGCTTTTGTCTTGTAAGCTTTTTAGCATATATTGTACTTGGATTTTTRAGGACACGTGGATTGTGAGCATGGGTATAAACACAACCCAGGCATRGATACACAGAAATACCAGAGGCTGATGGAAATCAGGAAAAAATAAATCACCAAATTGTGATGACCAAGCTTCCTCAGTATTTTGCAGAGGTCAGGTCCTTTTTAGTCCTGAGCAAACTCAGCTCATGTCGACTTGGGTGAGAGGGAGGAGCTGCCAGCAGCTGGCCAGGTCAAGCCCAGCAGGAGCCAATGGAAGGATGAGCAGTTGCTGCTGTACCTGCTCTGCAGTCACCCCTCTGCTGGGAGACAGATCTGACCACAGATCCCTCTGACTGTGAGCTGGTGGGAGTGACTCTGCTCTGCCCACTCTGCTTCTCCTGGGTTCTGGGTGTGCAGGGCTCTGCCAGGTTCTGGGTGTGCTCAGCTCTGCCAGGTTCTGGATGTACAGGGCTCTGCCAGGTTATGGGTGTGCTCAGCTCTTCCAGGTTATGGGTGTGCAGGGCTCTGCCAGGTTCTGGGTGTGCAGGGCTCTGCCAGGTTCTGGGTGTGCAGGGCTCTGCCAGGTTCTGGGTGTGCTCAGCTCTGCCAGGTTCTGGGTGTGCAGGGCTCTGCCAGGTTCTGGGTGTGCAGGGCTCTGC